GCCCGTCTCAAGGCTGAATAACACTCAGATCTGTATCTCTTCAGCATATCGAGCACGCAAAGGTCAAAATCCCACAAGAACGACCCTCATACATGGATGTCGAAGCGTCCCGCCAACCAGTCAACAGCCCGCACTATGGTGATCGACTACCCCATATAGGTTTGTTTGGCTGGCACAAACAAAATTTTGCGAATCGCGGTTTCCGGACTTTTATGCAAGGCACTGTAAGACTTCGTGCGTCTTTCATGTACAGTGGTGGTTCTTTCTCTGCGAATCAAGAGATTACCTGGTCTTTGCTTGTGTGATCTCGCCTTTCGTAAACGAACTACTCGTATCCTGTTGAGAACGTCTAAGTCCTCTTAGCTGAGTCTCAACATTTTTTGACCTTCTTTAACTCTTGCTTCTGACCTCGACGTCGTTGCGGCCTGATCAACCGTCTATCGGCTGTCGTCGTGTTTTACAGGTATACCTAGGGTTATAACTATGCCGGCTAGAAAGACGAGAATGACTACTCGTCGAGGTATCCCAGGTGAGTTGGATATTGCTTCGTTGGATAACTCCGCCGCGAACGTCAGTGTCGCGAGCGTTGAGGAAGTCGACTCCGCCCCTGCACCAGGTGCTGCAGGCGAGCGCGTTGAGCCGCCGTCCGTTCCCTCGGTAGGGAACGCTGACGCACGCCCCGTGGTTCACGGTGAGGCAATGGTAACTAACGGGACCGAGGCTCAGTCTGTATTGAGTGGTCATCCCTTATCAGGCACCGAGGGACCAGGCGCTCCTTCGTCGCCGCCGTCTTCGCGCACCTCGACCCCTTCCTTCACACTTCGGCGAGTAGACTGGTCTGAGGTTCGAGAAGATGGAGATAATGTTGGAGGTGGTATCCCCGCTTCGTGGTGTGATAGAGTTAATCTACAGCCTAATATGTTAATTGATATTTTGTCTGGTATCGAGGATGCCAATGAAAGATTTGCCGTCCTGGACTACCACTTGATGAAGACTAAGGAATCCAAAAAGCAGTCTCCTGAGGACAAGGCAGTCCGGGATGCTGACGACAGCTCACGAGCAATGATAAGTGAGGAAGTACCTTCTCCGCATGCTAAGGCTGCTCGTTTTGCGCCTGTGACCGGGCCTGATGAAGTGCTAGTCATGCGCACCGTCGGGACAACTGAAGGACACATCGAGAATGTGCCGGCTGATTCCCGAAATCACTCCGCCAAGGAGGTTCGGTCGACGATTAGTCCCTCGGACGTGGTTCGCGGGGCGAAGACGATCACTACGATAAAGTCGGAACCGCATGTTGGTCGGGCTGGATCGCAAGTTCCGTCGACCGGCTATATTCAGACTATCCTAGGTGGTGATCCCCCTGGGTCGGACCCGTCTGATTCCTCAAGTGACTCGGGTAACGACTCTGATGACGAGCGCATTAGCGACACCTCAAGTGCTCGCTCGGACACCTCGCTCAATACTCGTCAGCGTAAGAAGCTTAAGAGAAAACTATACAAGGCTTCACGTCGTATCAAATCAAAGCATGAAAACAAGCTCCCGAAAGGTGTTCGGATTGAAGAGCCTTCACGCTGGGATGGGACCCCGAACTACGACAGGTTCGAACACTGGGTATATGATGTGGAAAACTATTTCAGGACTACCGGTATTCGAAAGGACCTTCAGGTCCGTATGATGGGGCGATGGCTTCGTGGCAAAGCTGCCGATTATTTTATGAATTCTATTGCTGAAAATCCAGAGAAATTCACTCGAGAATTGGTATATCATGGTCTCTTCTCGTACTGTTTCCCTGCCAGATTCAAGGCTGAATTGCGGAAAAAATACAATAAATGTTTTCAAGGGAATAGACCATTCCGAGAATTTCTGAGAGAGTTGCAGAAGCTATCAAAACGTCTGCCTGACATCTCGGATGCTCATCTAGTTTTGAAAGTATGGGAGAATGCGAGGCGTGATCTGCGCATTGAGTGGGCTCGACTCGGTTATGATCCAGAAACTGCAACGTTAACTGAGCTTGAGGACGCCGCGTTGAATAGGGGAAGTCACGGTTGGCGTTTTAAGGCCGTTTTAGCGTCCGTTTTGCATTTCGTTTTCGACCTCTAAAACGCCTCGTGAAACGAAATCAACCGTGATCACCCCACATAAAATCCGTTCTACGGACCGTTCAACGCTTCGTTCAAGCACGCGTTTACACAACGTTTACAGCCACTCACTGTAGGCGGAGTTCCAATGTAGAGCCGTGATTCCGCTTTAAGGAACAGCACTCTTTAAGTTGAGATGGCTTTAAACACTTGGTATATACTATAGAAGGACACTGTCACTTCCCAGCACAAACTAGACACTCGGGAGGGGACATAAGTTCTCCAAGGCTTCAGTTAAGCCTAGATATGGCAATAGGATTTGCGACTCCGAGCTTACCTAAGACTGAAAATGCCGAGAGATGCCGAGCTAAAACGAAAACCGTGTTCGCGATTCGTGCAAAACGGCTCTGGAGCCGTTTTGCAGAAACGAGGCTAAAACGGTCCTTAAAACGAGCACCGTGACTTCCCCTAATATTGAGACGGCGGCTGCGCTCGCTGCCGAATCTCGTGGCGACTCTAACCGTAACTTGAATGCTGCTTCTCTCCACCGAGCGTCGACTGCTATCACTCAGGCTGGAGACTCTGCCAACCGCATTCGCAAATCACCCAATACGCCTGGAATTAACAACACCTCCAGCGGGGGCACAGCGACTAAGAATAACATTCGAGGCATTTCTACGAACCAACGCAGGCTATCTCAGACCGAAATGGATGAATTGCGCAGCGCTGGCAAGTGCTTCAATTGTCGAGAAGTAGGACACAACTCGCGCAATTGCCCTGATCGACACTCTGCGCGCGCGCCTCGTCTGCGTTCCGCTAATATCCGTGCATCGTCGGTCAACATAGGCAGACTCGAGCAACTTACTAAAGAGCAGGACACCATGCTGAAGCTATCGGCTTGCCGCCTTGAACGACTGGCTCCTGACCCGGCATGCAATCCGGAGGGCGTCGGGAGTCTTCTTGGCGATAACGAGGTGCTGGCGATAGACGTCCGATTCCTTGTTTACTTCGTAAGTGATGATATTGTGATTCTCGATCGCGAACAGAACTCGACATTCTGTCTGCCTCTACTCTGGTTCCGACGAAAGCGCTTCCGGCAGTTCTTTCGACGACTACCTTCCTACCTCGAAGGCCTTCTTGCTTTGAAGGATAATGATGATTTTGTTGTCTCGGATATCGACATGTCGTCTCAGTCGGATGCTCCCTGGTTCTCGCTGGAACACATCAACTCGGAACTGTGTTCTCAAGCAAACTCAGAGGATGATCTCGTGGCTCGTCAAATTCTCCTGGAGGGCGACAATGAATCGGAATCTGGTGAAGAGCAGGCCGATGAATCCACTTGTAGCTCGATGCCCTCTCTGGTGACAGTCTCTGATAGTACTGTCTCGGGATCAACGGATTCACTGGTAAGGGCTGTCTGGCATTTTCTGTTATGATTTTCCCATGCTTATCTCATTCCATTTCCATTCCGAGCATTGCTATTGGACAGTACCTTTCTCCGAGTAGACCTTCCCATGGACGCTATCTTCTTCTCACACGTTATCTTCCTTGACTCACCTTCTACCAATGGGCGCCCTTGTATTTCTCATTTCTCTGAGTTACGTTCTCACAGGATGGCTTACGCGTCCTTTCTTATTGTTCTCTTCTTTGGGTATTAACCCCTATACCAGTTACTATATATACTGTAGGAAAACCCATGTATTCCTTAGTTCAACCTCCTGTTGAATACAGCGATTACCTGGACTCTTGACTTGACCGTTGGCATTGGCCCGGCCAGACCTACCTTTCAGTACGCTTACTGAGGTAGTAACGACATAACTGTAGGCACGTGGCCCAGTTATCTCAAGACGACTAGTTAGGACATCGCTTCCTAACATTAGGTTGAACTCTTCTACGACACTTGCCGACTTCTTCAAG